CATGTTGAGATCTCGGAGTCTGTGACCAGAATCGGACGGGGGGCTTTCTGCGACTGCACGGCGCTGGAAAGCATCAAGATTCCCAGTTCAGTGACCACCATTGAGGAGGATACGTTTCTGCGTTGCAGCGCCTTGACGCATGTTGGGATCTCAGAGTCTGTAAACAGAATCGAAGCTGGAGCATTCTGCGACTGCCTCGCGTTGGAGAAAATCCGAATTCCTAACCCAGAGGCAAGAATGCATGGTGAAGCTTTCTACGGCTGCAGTCCCTATCTGCAATTCGCAATGTCTCGCCTCAGGAAGAGAAGAAGGATTTATCCTTGAGGCGTTCCACTTAGGAAGGCATTCCTATGCAATGCCCAGCAGGATCGAGGTGCCGCGCAATTGGAGGAGCAATTCTGCAAACAGCGCTTGCAGAGTTTGCCCTTAGCATACATGTTTTGCACACACACTCTTCGCGACGCAAGCTGAGCAAAATGAATCGACACCACCTTGAGGCTGCCTGAATGCTAAAGGGTTTAGGGTTTAGGGAAGGACCCCCACCGGGGAACCCCACTAATGGAGAATCACATGGAAAATAACATGGAAAATTAAATGGTAAGTAGGGTTATATAGGGGTTTATAGGGTCTTGGTAGTTATAGCTTTCCCAGAAATACAGGGACCCCAATATGGACTCCCAAATACATCCAAATACTATATTAATTCTTATTATGGGGGCTCGCCAATGAAAACAGGAAGCCCTAATGTTGCGAAACCCCAGAGAAGCATCTGGGCTTGAGATGTAGGATTTTTGTCTTCCAGAATGCTAGTGCTGCCAGGGTTGGGATTTTAGCGTTGCTTCGTGGTACCTAGAACTTGTTCTGATCACTTCGACAATAGTTTGTTTCAACATGGCCTATATGGCAAGGATGATGTCTGTAGAACATGGCGCGCCATCAGAAGCTAGAATGGTGTAGGTCCAGTGGAAGGTAGGGTTCAGGTCCGAAGTTTTGCAGTCTGGGGTGTGCTGCTCGAAGCCTTTCAGGGGATGCAACCTTTGGGATTTTGGGCTGAGTCCCTGGAGAGGTTCATTAAGCCGCCTCACCCTCGCTTGGAAGCCTATACAAGGTGTGGTGGGGTTTATTTTATTCGAAAATGTAACCCCAGACCCCCACCCTGAACCCTAAAACCTACACACTGAACCCTAAACACCCTCAGGCTCCAGCACGAGATGAATGAGATCAACCAGCGGCTTCTAACTAAAGACTCAGCCGAAAAGACCCTGGAGGACCCACAGTTTTGGGTTTGTGGGTTCCAGGGTTGCAGGTTCAGGGCTTTGCCATGAAGATGGGGAAATAGGTGTTACCAAGAGGACAACCTCGTACTGCAAGGTTGGTTGTCCAGCTTCATAGCACCAAATTGAAGTAGATTTTAGGCTTTAGTGCGGTTTAGGGCCATGTTATGGGAAGGATTCTATGGGGTTCTGCCTGCAAGCCAGTACTTGCCATGCGGCTTCAAGCGTGTTATATCTCACTGCTGTCTTGCTGCACACTGAGGAAACCCAAGCTTAAATGAGGTCGCTTAGTTTGGGCCCCGACGCCTTAAGCTTATAACTGGTTGTTGGTAGGCAATATGGGAAGATAATTCCTACATAATCCCCATATAACATATTCCCTCTATTCCCTGCTAACATGCAGTAAGTAAACCGTGTGCGGTCTTGGGGCTTCGACTGTTAGAGGTCCTTTCTGCTTCGTGAGTTGCGGATTTGATTGTGGTTCGTTCCCCCTCACTGTAACTGTCCTTACCAGGGTCTTCTTAAGGGACTTGTGTAGCTCTTGTCACCTATTTTGGAAACTGTTCCTCGAAGGGGGCATGACTTAAGTTTCATTCTAAAATTATCAACAGCTCTCCCTTGCAAATGGGGAGTACGTCCCGGCAGGAAATGCGACAGCAGCAGTTCACCAAGATGGATGCCATGAGCCGTGGGCCTCAGTTGCGCGTGCATGTGTGATCCATGTGGAAATCTTTACAAACACCACCGCTCCACAAACTAGCATGGGACCCTAGGCGGTTGCCATAGAGCCCCTCTTTGCAGAAGCGTAGTCTTTAAGTACCGCAAACCTTGCCATACCCCAGACATGTTTTGTTGAACTGCTTGTGGCCTGATAAGCCTCTTTACTTTCACTTTCTGCAAGACTTTATTTACTAACCAAAAATCCATGTCTATGTGATTACCGCATGTGCTACTTAGTTTCTTTGCCCTTAACCCTAGGCCCTAGGCCGTGCGCGCCCTTGCTCAGGAACAGAGATCTCAGAGGCCATGAACAGCCAGATGGAGCTTTTGCGAAAGCAATCCGCGGTGGGCCGTGCTGAAATTTTACAGCGTCGTACATGGTTTGTGGGATATTGGGATAATGGAAAAGAACATTGAAACTACTATTTGGGGTTTAGGGCTTTTAGGTTCAGGTTTAGAGCTTGGGGTTTACAGTCCAAATCGCTCCGTGTGTTGTTGGGCTGTGTAGGTCTGTATACTCCGGGCTCATATGGGGGTCATGACCCTAAACCCGCGGTCCTAAGTCCCAAGCCATCAGCGTACAACTCCAGACATTGAGCATAAATTGCAAATCATACACCCCCGGAACCCAAAAAAAACACAGAAAGACAGACCTTCTTGTAACAGCGGCCTAAATGTGGGCTCCATTTCCGTTTGGCAGAGGGTGGGCCGCAAACCCTAGACCATTAATACGTTCCCCAAATCAGCCCTACGCCCTTAAACCTGGAACCCTAAATTGGGGAGTTTTTAAGGGGCTCCACGACGCGCGCTCCCTAACATCTCCCAATATGACGACCCTTCTATGGGGTCCCCCTACCTGGACCGTAAAAGTAGGTAAATGATGGCCCGCGATTCCTGAAAAGAGCCCAAAACTGCTTTTATTCTGAATATGCTTTGCAGGTTTAGGTAGGAATTCCTGAACCCCAAAGCCGGCCAAACCAAATAAAACTTGCAATTGCTTACCAAGCACCCCACCCCAAACGCTAAGGATTGTTTACCCCGCAACTAAACCGAAAGCCCTGAGGTCGAGTTGGAAAGCCTTCGAGCCAGCGTTGAGAGGTCCCAGCAGGAGTCCGAGCGCGTGCCTCTCGTCAGCAAATGGGGGGGGGGTCCGGCTTTTGGGTTCGGGGTGGGTGTAGGTTTAGGGTTTAACTGTAACATCAATTTACTGGTACTACAGTTTGATGGGTTATACCTATTAAGTAAGGGTAATCACTATCGAACTATAGTAACTGTAGGTGTTTGGGGTATTTGAGAACCCTAGGTACCACTACCTCCACACTGAGGCCTTAAGAAGCAACCCAAGGCTGCACAAACGCGCATAGGACTCCCTTTCAATGTGCTTGGGGCTGAACATTATCCTATCTAAGCCCTTATACTACATAGGGATGACATAGGGTTATTATATAGGGACATATAGGGATTATATGGAGATTATATAAGGGTTGTTTACGGCGTCTAGAGGGTTACATAAGGTTATATGGGGAGTATAGGGCATAGCTCCATTCTAGACACTCCCCTCTCGACATTGACCCCTTTTCCTGGGGATAACAGCCACAGCAAGGCAGGCCAGCATGCAGATGTGAAAAATGCTCTCATAGCTGTCACTGGGTTTAGGGTATAGGGTTAAGGATTCAGGTCTTGGCCTTCTAGGGATATTTAGCAAGTTTCCCTTATGGGCTCCATAAGAACCATGCATTCTAATATTTTTGGAATGGCTCCAAAGGCCAACCAGGTTGACCAAGGCCAGCTTCAGTGCATCTATTCATGCAATGGACTTCTGGCGGGTAGATATGGGGGTTGCCTGAAAGTTGGGGTATCACTTTTGGGGGTTTCCATAAGAAGGACTATAGTATTTTGGGGGTGCTACACCACGGTTGATGCTACAAATCCTGCTTGACCCCAAGTGCACCTTGGGAATCGTGAAAAGGTTGGTAGTTAGCAGCAGTTCGAGATCCCGAACTAAGTGGTGCTGGATGCCTTGTGTGATAGTATTATGGGCTACCTGTCAAATAGACCTCATATTTATATCAATGGTTCTCTAGGCCGCCTAGGCCTCATGTGGTATGCTATACTATATTATATCAAATTGAATCACATTATATTATACTATATGATATGATACTATATTATATTGTGAAGATTTAAAATTAGTGAGCTGGGGCGCTGAAATATCAGGGGGAGGGCGACTTTCCGCGCTTCAGTTCTTGGAATCCCTGGCTGCTTCTAAGGAAGAAAGAAGCAGAGGCCTTCGGCATTTGCCCTGCAAGGTACTGTAGGAGCCTAAAAAATTGCCAAGATGATGGTTCAATATTCCTTGTACAATTATAGAACATGGTAATTACTTCAAATGGACCTCAAAATGACATTGAGAAGTATTTAAGCCCTTGTAGTAATGCTAGTGATAGTAACAGGATTCATACTAAACATCCTGCCTGCCCTTGGTGGTAGTTTCCATAAAGTGGGGGAACCCAGTGTACACCCCGTTATATTGTAATCCTTATTACAGGGACCCCCAGAAAGGTCTTCCGCGTTTTGGGAAACCCCCTAGTATTCGATAACGCGATCATTTCCCAGGTATAAGGCACTGAAGGTCATGCAGCATCCAGGAAATTAGTATCAACCGTCGTAGTGGCACTGTTTTCGATTGTATTTCTATTTGGTATTTGACACTAGGATTAACCCGACTGGTATGTTTGCTATTATCATACTTATTGGTGTTCAAAAGGGAATAGCGGGCCATAATTCCTCTAGGCTATATAATACCTATATATTATATTTCCATATCCACTACTAGGAGGCAGTAAGCATAGGGAGAATTCCTGGGTCATTCGATTTGGGTTTGGAGTCGGAGGGTTAGGGCTTTAGGTTGGAGGGTTGAGGGGCTTAGGACTTAGGTTGAAGGTGTTTATGCTTTGTGACTTAGTGGGATACGGCCAATTGCTTCCCGAAACCATGAGGACTTCGGAAAGAAGAAGAACTTGTACCAGTGCGCTGCACGCATCCGTCTTGTCGTGCAAAAACTTGTTGTACCCTTAGGTTTGAAATTCACTCTGCCTCTTTTGTTAGCACTGCTTGTTTTGGCGGCTCTTAAGATCCGCATTTTAAAGTGCAGTCACATCACATGTTGAGGTTTTGCTGTTCGGTTCTTCCAGTCAGTAGATGCGGGCCATTTGAGAGTTTCCCAAACTAGTTCCTATGAATTCCTTAATCCTGAAGATGGACCTCCATAACCCTCTGTAATCTCGTCATGTCCCTACGATGGATACTAAAAATCCTGCATGACCCTGAATACCCTATACCTTGGGAATTATGGGATTGTAGTATATTACGGTCATGCAGGATTCTTTAGTATCAACAGTAGTGTCCCTAAGGGCCTCCATTTTTCCATTGTTGTGCAGGCCCATGAGGCTGCAGTGGTCAAGCTACAGGTGCAGCTCAGGGATTAGGGGTTTTGGGAGTTGGGCTTGGGGTTAAGGTCTAGGGCTTGGGGTTTGGGGTTCAGGAGTTTGGGCGTAGGGTTTAGGCCTAGAGTTTGAGGCTTGGGGTTTAGGAGTTTGGGGTTGAAGGTCTGGGGTTCGGCACCGCGGTTAACCTGTAACAGCTGTTTCTTACACCCTTATGCAGGGCATACATATCAAGACCGTTATTTCCACATTGGGGCTGATGCCTGGTAGGGCAGAGTTTAATCTGTTTCGCTTACAGTAATGGCGGCTGACAGGTGAGGCTCTTCGTGGTCTCTATCCCATTGGGCTCAAGAAAAAGCGACTTACTTTGCACGGCGCGTAGGGAGACCCAATCCTCCTGATAGCAAATGAGCCCAAAAGACGTAGCCGAGCCGGAACGGGGATTCTTGGCCCTCACAGTGGTGGGCCGATAGCTCAAGACATATTAAGAACAGTACGTAATAAGCCTACCCCTGCAGAGGTCCTTCAAAAAGATATAAGGGGACTTGGGGGGACTTAGATTAACCCTAAGCCCTAAACCCCAGCCCGCCCTTGCAGGCTACTCTCCAAGACGCTCAACAAGCACGGCGAGCAGCTGAAGAAGAGGCCGGAATGCATGATTTGACTGGGCTGCTGTTAAGGAACTTAGTTTACTGTACTATATTGGGGTATAACATAGGGTTTAGGGTAGTTACTATATTATCCCCTTATAATGGAGAAGCACGTGGAAAGAACATGGAGAATGAAATGGAAGCTGGCTAGGGGTTTAAGGACTTTAAATCAAGTTGACATATTGGGGAAACCCTTTCATTTATTCCATATACCCCTTATGATAACTTGGCTTAAGTTCCTTGACAGCAACCCCGTTTACCTTTTGTGTTCAACCCTAAGCCCCTAAGCCCTAAACCCTATATAAACCCTAAGCCCTAAACCCTAATCAGAACTTCTCCAGGGCTAGCGTACATCTCAAGAGAAGTAAGCAGACGTTGGACTTGAAGAATAAAAGGATTTTGGCAACCCCAACCCCAAAATTAGGACCCTATGGCTATCATATGATGGTTATAGGGTCCTAATTCGGGGGTTTGGGTTACCAAAATTTCCTTATTTTTGAGCCGTGAATTTGAGGCTAGGGGGAGTCTAGGCTTGGGCTACTTTTGGGGCATCTTTGCAGCTTGGTAGGGTTTAGTGGTTTAGGGGTTACGAGGTTAGGGGTTTATGGTTTGGGGTTTAGGGGTCTAGGGTTTAGGGGCTCAGGGTTTAGGGCAAAGGCTCCCTACTTCCCAGCATCAACCCCCTCAGCCTCAATCACACGGAATGTGCAAGCCTGAGTAGTTACCAATACTCTTGTCCTGTATATCTTGTAACACTGCAATGCTATAGGATACCTCAAATGTCAAATAGACCTCAAATATGACATTGGGAATATTTCAGGGTAATCCCTGCAAAGCCCTAGATAAGCCCTAGTTTTGATTGTTTTTTCCAGTTTACTTTGCACTAAGACAGGCACTTGAAATAGCGTGGCCCACCTCTACACTCCTCTTGCATATGAGCTATAGTCTAAACTCCTTAAAGGGGGTTATACAAGGGCTTCTATAGGGGAGTAGTATAGGGGTTATTGAGATGGATACTAGATTTTTTTAGACTGTAGCTTATATAGGGATATTACACCAGGTGACCGAGGGAATAATGGAGAATCAAATTGAAATGGAAACTTCTACAGATAGGGCCGTATTGTCAAAAAAAGTTGCTTCTTCGCAAACGCGCCGTCCTGCTTATCCGACCCAGAACTACCTAAATCCCAAAAGTATGTGAAATTATAGCCCTACACCCATAATAACGGCCGTAAACGCCATTATTTTGCGTACTTTTGGAGTCCAGGTATACCTTATACCCTGAATCCCTAAACCCCTCAACCTTCAACTCTAAACACCTAAACACCAAACCCTAAACCTTGCATCCCAAACCCCAAACCCTGAACCTCCCAAACCTTAAAGCCTAGACCCTTAAGCCCTAAACCCTTGCATGACCTGAGTTGCCAGGCATCCCAATTGAAGGTGAAGTTGGCAACTGCAGAAGAGCGAGCCAGCATGCTGTCTACAAGACAAGAGGACCTCCCAGTCGAGGGTTAGGATATGGGCCCTTAATTTGGGCCCTTAGGCTTTTGGGGGGATTGTAGGGACCCCTAAAAAAACATATTGAGTATATAGTAGCTATATAAGGGTCCCAGGGTTAAGGGCCCATACTGGGGAGCCCATGGTTCCAACATTACACCAGTAAACCCTACACCTGATATTACTACGATTATTTCTGACATGGTAGTTTCCTTAAATAGGGGGATCCCAATATAGACCCCCAAATACTATAGTCCTTATTATGGGGACCCCCAAAAAGATACCCCTACTTTTGGGAAATCCCCACATTGAGCCCTAACCTTAAACCCCTTGGAGACCTTCAGGGCTTTCTGAAGGCTTCGGCTCCAAAGAATATGTCCTAGTCACCATGTAAGGGTGTAGAGTGGAGGGTTGCCTTGATGCCTGGTACAAGGAGGCCTTTTGGATGGACGATTCAGGTGGACCCCCACCCAGTAGCAATAGTGGCTATAAGGGATGATGGTGATTAGATTAGGGTCCTCTTATATTCCTATTATGCCATTATTTCAGGGTGGATGATACAAGCTATCAGTGAGCTTAGAGTTGAGCGCATAATTTGATAAATTGATGCTGCCCTTTTTCGCATGGACCTTCTGGACATGAAAGGCTTCTTGATCGAGTCTCCACCACCCCCCAACCAAAAAGAATGCAGAGTCCGTGCTTCATGAACCCGAAGATGCCATCGTTCTCTCTTTTGTGGATCCGTATGAGCCATAATCTAACCTCCTTAAAGGGTGTTATACAAGGGACTATATGGGGGATCACTTTGGGGGGTTATTGAGGGGGATACTAGGAGTTCAGACTATAGCTCACGTAGGTTACCCTAATGATGCCGGTGTGATCCGTAAGCCTTGGACCTGAAGCCTGGGTTCCGTCCACCTATCCCAACTGCCCCCTAAAGGGGTAGTTGTGGGTGTATTACGATTAATTAAAGGGGTTTATGAGGGACTACTGCAGGGGGGGACTCATCCGAAGCTAAGACCCTAGGCTCTAAACCAGGGAGTTCTTGCCCAGACCCAAGTCGGCATTGAAGCTGGTCAGGAGCTGCGGAAAGAGCGGGCCGAATTTGATGAGGAGAGGAAGCAGTTGAGGCCCAAGCTATATGCAAACGTTAGCTGGGGAAATTGCGCTTGTTTGGGTAGTCCATATAGATACTCCCTATGCTACCGTGACAATGTATGCCATGATCTGGTACCCTAGACCCTAAACCCTAAACCCCACAACCCCCCTGAAGGACCTCTGGGCTGCTCCAGGGCCCTCTTAAGGGTTCCTCTAAATTTCCCAAAGGTAGAATAGGGTTTAGGGTTTAGGGTACTATGTTGGCGAGTCTACTTTCTAGATCCCAAGCTCTGAACCTCTGAACCCTTCCAAGCGTCTGGGACGTGGGTTGGCTTGAAAGTTAAGGGTTCGGGGGGTGGCCGGGGGCTGCTTTGGCGGAGGCGTCATCATTCGCCTCTTCATGAAGGAACAGTTCCATGAAGGTGATGATGCCCTTGCTGATGATGACCATGAAGTTGATGATGATGATGATGATGATGATGATGCTCATCATCATCATCATCATTATCATCATGACCATATTGTGGTGAGAAGCATGTATATACTGTGATGAAGGCTCGTTTGTTTCCAGCAGTACAAGACTTGGTTCTATTGTCATTCTCATGTTGAAGACAGGCCTACGTGTTGCCGATCATGTTTGATAATCATCAGCCGGTGCATTTGCCTCCGAACTGGAGCCGCGCGAATCACACTTCCACAGCAACCTTGCTAAATCGCCAAGAGCACGCTACGGACCTCGAAACCCCTAAGTCCTAAACCCCAAACCCTAGCATCCTAATTCTAACTGCCCAGCAATGCTGCGAACTCTGTGCCAGGGTATTCTGTCTGAATCTCTTTCAACCGGGGAGTCTGTGTTTCGGGACTATGCTTGGACGATTGGCTTCGAGCGCCATTTCAACAGCGATTTACGGGACGCTTGAAAAACCTGAGTCCTACTACAATCCTTAAATTTCTACACATCAATCCTGGAACTCAAAGGTATAAGCCTGTACTCAGAAGCCCTGGCGCCTCCGAAGTGTTCCGCAGAGCCCAAGCACTTAACCGTAGTCCCTAAATCTAATCCAATAAACCGACGAAGACCCGAATCTTGACTGGGTTGCTGTTAAGGAACTTCAATTAAGTGACCAAAGTTTGGAAAGCCTATCACTCACTATACATATAGATATGTGTACATATTATACATATATGTTGAGACACAGTAACCTAAGTCGAGTTCCTTAACAGCAACCCAGTTAATCAAGCCAAGCCTCAAGGACGCAAACAACAAGTGCGTCCTACAGGTACCTCCAGAAAAGCTCCCTACGGTATTCCTGTGCCCGCATTTCTAAAGAAAGGCACCGCTCTGGGGGTCGCTCTAATACAGATTATGGTATATTGCGATGTGTATCGCGGTCCCCCATTCATGGAAACGACCATGTAATGGTACTATGGGGTTACCCTTTTGCACGTTCACTAATATCATAACCCTCGTCATAGGGATCCCCAATCTTTGGAAACCACATGTCCACATATTGTAAAACCCTAAGTAGTAGTTAGTGTACCTACGTCATTCCCTAACAATCCTTGTGCAACTACGTTTAATGCGCCCCACAGCCTTGCTTAGAAAATTAAGGCCGCTTCATCACAAGCCCTGTAAACCTCTATGTGAGCCCAGTTTCCATTGTGTTTTGCATTAGGTTTTCTAATTAATGTCCATTATTGGGCTTATTTAGACCTTACATCCCGATACTCAAAACCCTAAATGACGCCCCAAGCCTAGACCCCTAAACCCTAGACCCTGAGCCCTAAACCTGTGACCCTAAACCCTATATAAACCTACAAGCAGGCAGCAAGGAGAGCAGCAATGGCAGCGGCTGGCGGTAGTCGAAGCTGAGCTCTCCAAGTTTAAATCCGAAGCTGAGGCAGGTCCATCTGTTTCGAGTTTAGGGTTAGGAATTAGGGTTTGGGGTATATGGCAGTTAGTCAAGATTCCTGTCCCAAAATGACCGTGCCGGAAAACATGTTGTCCCCAGATAGCCTTGGCAGACCTGATCCTTCAGAAATTTTCCCACCAGCGACGTTTAGGTTTACCCCGATATGAGCTACAGTCTAAACTCCTTAAAGGGGAGTTATATAGGGGATAATATGGGGAAGTAATATAGGGCTTATAAGCGGTGAAACTAGGAGTTTAGACTATAGCTCATAGGGGTAGTTCACGAAATTTGGACCCCATTTTGGGATTTCAGATAGTAGGTGCCGTAATATAAGCTATACCCGAAAGGGGCCTGGATTTTTGAGAATCCCCAAACCCTAAACCCTAAACCTTAAACCCTAAACCCTAAACCCTCCTAAACCTTAGCTTGGTACCACCAACCCCAGGACTCAGGAAGAATCAAAGGGTTGGGGGGTTTTAGGGCCTGGGGAAGTGAATTGAGTAGCATTTTATTTGGGAGGTACTATGGTACCCAATATAGAGTAAGATTGTATCCTCCTTTTGGGGTATAGTATTTTATATAAGGAATATGATCTTACTGGGTTTAACCACCAAAAAAACGCTACTCAATTGGTTGTTGTAACCCCAACAAAATTTCGGACCGTATTTCTGTCATATGGCTGCAGCAGGGTTCTTCTTCTGAAGGGCGTTGGGATGGCGAAGCTTGAAGCGTTACGTTTAGGATTTAGGGTTTAGGGTTTAGGATTCCGGGTTTATACCTCAGGGTGCGGAGTTTTGGCTCGGGGTTGGACTAGCATAATCCCCTGTTCCTAAGCAACACCTCCCACCTTTATTAAATGCTCCCAATGTTAGATTGCCGCAGTGGCAATCTTTGATATAAGGGGGGCTTTTTGTTGAATATTCGCAGGAGTGTATTCTCCTAGGGCTGAGGAGGATTGGAACTCTAGATGAAGACGTACAAATCCTACATGACTCTAGGGGCCCGGAATCAAGCGAGTACCAGACAAGTTGTGTCATAGTAATAATAGTAGTCATAGCAGATAATGTCGTCAGCTCATTGTAGATGTAATGTCTACTGTGCATCCCGGCCTAGCGCACCATACATAAATTTTGTAGCCTCCTACATCACCTACAGATGAACTCAACCCTAAACCCTAAACCCCTAGACCCTAAACCCTAAACCCTAAGAATTTCTCAGATACATTACAGGATCCTGAAGAGGGACCCCGAAATCCCTTTGCAGCTCTTTGTTTAGAAGTCAAGGACATTACAAGCTCTTGTAGCCCAAAGCCAACGCACTGAAACCCGAACGCCACGATCCCTAAAGGCATCCGCATTCTGAGAGATAGTCACATGACCCAGTGAGTCAGGTTCAGAAAAGAGAGATCGAACGCTTGAATACAGCAAGAGGGGAGGCGCGATCGCTACACATGACATGTTGGGCTGTCAAGTCAAGCTTATGGGGTTTGTGGCTTATGCGCAGTTATGTAATCAGGATGTGAGTGGTCAGGGTTCGATAGAAGGGCAAAGCTGAACTTTCTAGTGTGTACCAAAATGGATCCAAGTCTATAAATCATACCCGCTTCGGTCCCTAAAGTTGCAAAAAAGTACCTACTTTGGGTTGGATCAATTGCAATTGTCTTTGTTTGGATTTTCGGGGAGCCCGCACCTGCTTGGGAGTACATGGCACAGAGCGCATGTGATGTGCGGGGCTGCTTATGCAGGATCGCGCTTTTAGGACACAGGGCGTGCAGAGAACCTGATGTCGGTAAAGCCCTATAAATCCGAAAGACCTTATATAACCCCTATGTAGCCAAAAAACAACCCCTATGTAACCTCTGTAAAGCTGTACATGTTAATGTGGCAGTCAGATTTAACTAAAAAACCGGCATCCCCAAGCCCCATTTCGCTGCCTTCAAAAACGGCTTAGGGCTTTAGGCCTGGAACCCTCAATCCTAAAACCTAAAACCAAAAACAAACCTCGGGGCCACCAAGCCATGGTCTGTTGACTTAGGGACATTTCCTGGCAGATTTTAGGTAGGACATTGCGAGTGTCCAACAATCAATGGCCCCAATACAGGATGTTTGAGGGTTTAGCATGATATATAGTTTTATATCGGGATTTCTATACGGTCTGCATTGGAATATTACCCCAGACGTGGAGAATCAAAGCGAAAGGAAACGGGAAAATTACATGAAAATTACATGGAGACTCTCATGATCAAGTGCTTTGGGGGGATTAGGGCGTCCCAAAGAAAGGATCCCTCTGAACAGGGTTACAGGGTCTGCGGCTATAGTACGGGCTTAGAAGACCATCGCACAAATGGGCGGCAGTGCCAGGAACATCCCCTGTCCCCCAGGCCCCTGCAAGCATCGGACGATGGTCAACTCTTGGGGCTCCATGCTAGGTATACTTGGAGGTCCATTGTACTTGTAAACCACTTAGTAACTGTAGTTATAGCCTAAAGATAAGTCCCATAACTACAGTTACCCTAGATATAATTGGGTTATAACTACAGTTACTAAGTAGGTTATAAGTACAATGGACCTCCAAGCAGGGTTTTGGGGTTAGGGTCTGGTTCTTGGGAGAGGGTACATACCTTTACTTTGTAACCACAAATCTTAGAGTTCAATCCCTGAGCCATATGCCCTAAGCCTAAGGTTCCTAAGGCCATGAACGTTAAGCCTTATAGGGTTAACGGTTTGGGAAAACCCCAAGGCCCAAGACCTGTAACCCCAAATCCTTTAGGCGGTAAGCTCTAGTCGCAAACCCTTGAGCTCCAGTCCCTAATAATCCCTACCTTTTCACAATTTGTCGGTGGAGTGAAGCAGTAATCTATCCTATTTAGCATTTGGGGTTTAGTGATTTAGGGTGTAAGGCTTTGGGTTTAGGACCTAGGGCCCTCATTAATTGCCCTAGACCTGGTACTACGGTACTATTACTGGTACCACTATTACTATTATTGGTCACATATTTATTACTACTTCTACTATTAGTATCATTATTTATACTCTTATCATACGTGGTTTAGGGTTTACTATTATCACGATTTCCATTATCTTCTGTGGTTTAGGGCTTAGGGTTGCCACTATTATCA